AGTGATTTAAATACATACCATTGCTTTACAGAAAAACCATTTTTGCCTGACAATGAACATTTTACATACTGACTGATAGCTGGAAAATACATTAAAAAAACAATAATGTGGCACTAATCCCACCATCTAAAGATAACCATTGCAAAACTTCTCGTTCCTTTTCATCTCGATCTTTACACACACACACACACACACACACACACACACACACACACACACACCTCGGAGGATGGCTGGGGTTAGAGCCCAGGGGTCCACTCTTCTCTGCCCCTCCCTTACCCTCAGCTACTCTTGGGGTGGTGGGGGTGGGGTGGGGTGAGCATTCTGAGTCTCACACCCAACTCAGAGCATCTCAGGACAGAGCAAGGCAGCAGGTCACTGTGGTCACCCTTCAGAGTGCCCTGGTCACCATCCTCTTATAGCAGGAGGGATGGCCTCAGGGCTGCAGTGGGCTGGTCGGGACAGATGGCTCTCCCCTTGGCACTGGACACAGAAGCCCCTGAGTGCCTGTGGGTGAGTGGAGGGTGGTCACTGCAGAGCGGGACTGTGTGTGGAGAGGGGTGGGGGGCACCAGGTCTGGCTGGAGCACAAGGTGTCAGAGACCCGTAGACCATGGGCTCTGTGACCACTGGACCACGGCCACCCTGGTCCCTGCCAAGTCCTTGGCGCCCACACGGAGTGGGAACAGAGGGCCACCTTCAGGATCCCTGGGTGGATTCAGAGTCTGCGGCCTTGCTGGGCGGGCCTGGGGCTTGGTCAGAGCTCGGTCTGCCCTGCTCTTCCAGGGAGAAGTGACCATCCACTACAACAAGCTGCAGGCAGACCCAAAGCAAGGCATGTCCCTGGACATCGGTAAGGCTACCCAAGCGCCCTGCCCCTCTGGGACAACACGGGGGGTAGTGGGGTGGGGTGGTGGTGGTGCAGGGCCAGCTTCCACCTTGACTGGACCCAGCCCCTTGAAAGGCTCTCAGCCTGTCCCAGTGCACCCACCCCCCGCCCAGCTTCCTCCTCTGCGGGTGTTCAGGGACTCCTTGGGGCCCCGCGCCCCTTGTCCTGGTGTGCCCGTCCCTTTGATGGCCACAGTAGGGGTGGACCTGCATTCCCCCTGCACCTGGGCTCTGCTGTCCGCCCGCCCTGCGCAGCCTGGGAGCTCTGGGGAAGCGGGGCGCTTACTTCTGACCTTCTCCCTCCCCTCCGCCCGCGGCTGCCAGTGCTGAAGAAGGTGAAGCACCGGCTGGTGGAGAACATGAGCTCGGGCACGGCGGATGCGCTGGGACTGAGCCGGGCCATCCTGTGCAACGGTGAGCCACCCACCCGAGCCAGCATGTCCCCAGCCACAGTGTGCGTCCACACGGCCAGGGCCGGGCGCCCAGATGCGGAAAAGCAAGGGCAAGGGCAGCCCCACCATCACCCAGCGCCCTCGGTGCTCCCGGGCCTTCACCCCGTTCCTCCAGGAGGGGGCGCCGCTGCCCTTGTCAATTGCAGCCCCGGCGGTGGGGTGGGGGGGGCGGGTGCGCGGCCGCGCATGCGCACAGGAGCACACGCGGCGCCCCGGGGGCCAGCGCGGCCGGCCCTGGCCGCCCCTCCCCAGCTGCGCGTATAAATAGCAGTGCCGGCTGTGGGGGCAGCGGTAAAAATACCCCCGTGCAGCGAGCGTGGAGGCCGCGGCTCCTGCAAAGGCAGCGCTATTTCCAGCCCAGGCCTATAAACCCCGTTACTGTAGTTACCGCGCGGGCAGACGGAATTAGAGCTGGCGGTGTGCCTTTCCCCCAAACTTGCAATTTCCCCCCCCTTAAATAGGGTTTCTAAAATGGAAGCTGTCACGGTGTTCCGTGACCCAGCTGAAAACAATCGCTGGGTGCTGCTGACGTGGCTCCAGTCCTGCAGTTGGGCGAGCGCCAGGGCCTTGAGGCTAGTCGTGGGGCGGCCGAAGTCTCCGAGGACCCCCAGGGGCCCTTTGCTTCCCTGGTGCTCAGACCCAGCCTCTCAGCTCCACAGCAAGGTCGTTGCAGGGAGCTGAGTGGCTGTGGCAGGCTGGCTACTTGTCCCTCGGTGTTTGTGAACGAGGCAAAGGCCGCTCATAAGAGTGCAGGGGCAGCTCGGGGGTCCTGACCCCGGCTTGTCTCCATAGCTGCCCCCCTCACCCCTGCCCCCACATTCCCCAGGCCTTTCCCACACACTGGTGCACAGTAGGTGCTCAGTGAACACCGGTTATGTACATTTGACTCGTCTTCCCCATGCCAGCCCTTAGGTACATAATACTCCCTCCCTGGGGCCATCTCATGAGACACCTCCTCTTTGTCCATAACTGGCTCAGGCCCCCTTGGGCACCTCTTGACTGACCGCTTCTCTGGATCCCCACAGATGGGCTGGTCAAGAGACTGGAGGAGTTGGAGCGGACGGCAGAGCTGTACAAAGGTGGGTGGACAGCGCCTATGGTTAGCAGCCCTGGGGACCCAGCTCTAAAGATGCTGACAGGAACGCCAACCAACAGAGTTGTAGGACCATGGCCATCTGAAAGTCTTTCAGATGTGTGTGTCCTCTGATCACAGAAGTAGCCTGTACTCATAAGAATTTAGTAACAGTACATAGGAAGGGGTACACACCCCACCCACCCACCCCGCAAAAAAAACCCAACTGGAATTGATTGCACGGGGCTGAGCAGAGCTTTCATAGTAGTGCACATTTTTACCACTAGGCGAGCATCGAGCAACTTGCTCTGAGTTAGTGCACTAAGTGGCATCACCTTGGAAGGTTCTCGCTGGTCACTGCGACTTTTTTCATAAAAGCAGTTTTGCTCGAACCTCGGTTTTTTTGTGTGTGTGTTGACCTATTTAAGAGAACAGCGTGTGGCTGTGAGATTTTATTTCCTGCTCGGGAAAAACGCGGCAGAAACAGCTGTGATGTTGAACATCACTTCACAAGGACAGCACTATGGGAAACACTCAGCGTACAAGTGGTTTTCTCACTTCAAAAAAGTGAAATGTCGATTGATGACAATCTGGATGTCCATCAACTTCCTTAACTGACGAACATGTCAACTCGCAGTGCATTTGGAGTTCGTTCCACCAGGTCAGACTGTTCATCAGGCTTTCTATTTAGAGGTTCTGAAAAGATTGCATGACAGCATGTTACATAAAAGGCCTGATTTGTGGCAGACGGGGTTCTGGTTTTTGATACCACAATGCACCTGCTCATGCAGCCATCTCAGTGCACCAGTTTTCAGCAAAAAACCAACGTGCCTCTCTTGCCCCACACACCTTACTCATGTGACCTCTCTCTGTACAACTTCTTTTTGTTTCTGTGAATGAAGAGGGACATGAAAGGACAGCAGTTTGACAACGTAGAAGATTTCTGGTGAAGAAAAAAAAAAGAGGGAGGTCCTGTTAGTCATCCAAACAGATGAGTTTGAAAAAGTTTCCAAGAATGGAATCGCAGATTTGACAAATGTATTCAGTGTTATGGAAAGTACTGTGAAGGTGAAAGGGTTGTTTCATACAAAAGTGTAAACATATACCTTTGGGAAAAAATTCCAGTTTGGGGGGCCACCCCTCATATAAACATAGCAGCACTCGTAAACCCTGTGCCACCTTAGTCACCTCCTGCCACCTTTGGAGTCCTGGCACTCCGTCTGGTAGGGGCACCTCAGATGGGGCCTACAGAGCAGCTGAACTCAGTCTTAGGCCCTTTGGGGATCCTTGGGCTCAGGGAGCCTAGGCCAGTGAGGCCAGGTGAGGGGTGGTAGCTGGAGCGGGTGCCACTCTCCTGGGTGGGCTCTCTCCACAGGGATGACAGAGCACACCAAGAGCCTCCTCCGTGCCTTCTACGAGCTGTCCCAGACACACCGGGGTAAGGACGTCCCCATCCCTGCTCCCATCTCCCCCAGTCCTGCTGGGCGAGCCCAGGCACCTGCTTGGGCCCCTGCTGTGCGCCATGTCCCCTTCCCTGCTCACTGGCTCCTCCCTGCCAGCTGTTCACACCCAGCCCCAGGGCGGGGGGCCTGCTGTGGGCTCAGCTGGCACACTCAGACTCACGCCAACCTGACCGTGTGATGTGGATCGGGCCTCTGCAGGTCACAAGCAGTGTTGAGTGGACAGTAGTACCTTTAAGGGCCAGACAGGGACTGAGCTGGCTCCATGCTCTAATCATCTGCACCCCCACCCCACCCCAACCTGTCCCTGTCCACGGGCAGGGCGCCGTCCTAGATACAGAGGCATGGTGACAGGACGGGCACAGGTGGTGGTCACCTTGGGGTCTGGGTGCTTGTCCACCTGTCCGTGTGCACGGTCGTTGCTCGTGTGCGAGGCTTGTCTCCATCATGACCTGGCTCCCCACAAGTCCTTCAGCTAGGCAGGGTGGGCAGGGTGAGGCCGACTTTGTCCCACAGCTTCGACACATGACAACTCAGGCGTCCCGGTTCATGGTGCTCTGTCCTCAGACCAAGTGGCCCGCCTCACCCTTGACCTAGCTTTCTCCATGGTCTGCCCACTCTGGGGAGTGACAGCTAGCTCCCTCAGGTGTCTAGATGCCCTTCCTTCAGGGTGTGGACCCTGGTCCTTGGGGTGTAGATTGAATTTCCCTCAGTGTAGACATGGGGTGTAGACAGAACCCCCTCAGAAGTGTAGATCCAGCTTCCTTAGGGCGAGGTGTGGGCCCAGCTCCCTCTAGTATAGATCCTGCTTCATGGGGTGTAGACTGAAGTCCCTCAGAAGTGTCACTCCAGTGGACCTAGCTCCCTCGGGGACACCACCAGCGACCTTGGCGGGCCTTGACCATCTCCTGCCAGGCCCCCAGCCCCACTTCATACACACCCCTCCATGAGCCCCTGGCGCCTCCTTGGGGGTCTAATTGGCGTGGGCCTTCAAGGCAGACCTGTTATACAGCCTTTGGGGACGTGTTCTCCGTGATTGGGGTACGGGAGCCCCAGCCGGCCGCCAGCGAGGCATTCGTCAAGTTCGCCGATGCCCACCGCAGCATCGAGAAGTTCGGCATCCGGCTGTTGAAGACCATCAAGCCGGTGGGTGGCCTGAGCGTGCTTGGGCCCTGTGGGCGGGGCAGCCTGTGTGGCCTGCAGGGGAGGCCTGTGTTGTAGTCCACCGTGGCTGACCAGGCTTTGCCGCCTGCCTCCTTGGGCCTGGCCTCAGCTCCTCAGATAGATGGGGCTAAGTGCACATCACCCCCTGCTCTGACAGCCTGCATCCCTTGGGAGAGGTGACACATCGCCGCTGTCACTCTTTGTCCCCCTGGCCCCACCCATAGGGGCCTCAGTGTCCACCTGCCCCTCCCTTCCAGATGCTGACAGACCTAAACACGTACCTCAACAAAGCCATCCCAGACACCCGCCTCACCATCAAGAAATACCTGGACGTGAAGTTTGAGTACCTGGTGAGTGCTGGCATGCCTCTGCAAAGACAGGGGGCTGGACAGGGCCACTGCCTCATCCCGGGGTGCGGGGCTGGGAGGTGGTTAGGGAGTCAGGCTGCAGGGAGGCCCTGTGCCGTGCTCCCAGGAGCCCCCAGGGCCTGGGCACTTGGGCTGGGCAGTGTCCTCTCTCTGGATCTCCTTGCCCAGTGGGCATGGGCGAGGTGAGCAGCAGAGCGCTGTCGCTGTCGACGGGCTGGTGTTTACGTAGAATTCTGTGGCCCAAGAAGTTGAGCAAAGATGCGGCCCGAGCCAGCACACCCCTCTGTTGCCAGCATGCTGGGCCTTTGAGCGGGCTTCCCAGTGCCCCATTGTCCATGGAGCACCTCTGCTCACACGGCCTCTGGAGACCCGAGTTTGGCAAACACCCACCCCTAGGCTGAGTGGGTGCTCCACCCCGTCCCCTGTTGTGCTCAGTGCCCGGAAGTGGCTGGGGGGCAATGTGGGGCTCAGGGTGGGCCTCCAGCAGGCTGAGGCCACTCTGACCTCACTTGTCCACAGTCGTACTGCCTGAAGGTCAAGGAGATGGACGATGAGGAGTACAGCTGCGTGGTGAGTGGCTGCAGCCTGCCTGTCCCTCTGCACCACCACCCCCCACAGGCCCCCAGCATACCCTGAGCCCGCCAGGGACCCTTGCTGACCCTAGTCCTGGGGAGGCAGGGCCTCACTCCCACTCCTGATCCTGCTGGCCTCAGGACCGCTCTCTCAGACTGTGGGGGGAGCGATCTTTCCCGGGGAAAGCTGACTCCCCCCGCTTCTCCGGTTGTTGGTGCTTCTGGGTCTCCGGCTGTCAGCCGGCTGCTTCCCAACAGCTCAGGGACAGCTTTGAGAGGGGCTGCCCTCTTCTCCCCCTGCCCCCCGCCCCGCTGGGGTGGCTAATGTGCCCTACCCCACCCAGGCCCTCGGGGAGCCCCTGTACCGAGTGAGCACAGGTAACTACGAGTACCGCCTGATCCTGCGCTGCCGCCAGGAGGCCCGCAGCCGCTTCTCGCAGATGCGCAAGGACGTGCTGGAGAAGATGGAGCTGCTGGACCAGAAGCACGGTGAGTCAGGGCCAGCCCCGGGCTGCCCCTCACTGCCAGCACAGCAGGGCACTCGGGGACAGCATGAGGGCAGGCAGGACAGGGCAAGGGGCGGGGCACGGGATGGGGGCGGGGCATCCGGGCGGGGCCCAGGCAGCCCCACGTAGGCGGGGCCTGAGCGGCTATGCTCTCCCTCCGTCCCCAGTCCAGGACATCGTCTTCCAGCTGCAGCGCTTCGTGTCCACCATGTCCAAGTACTACAACGACTGCTACGCCGTGCTGCGCGGTGCCGACGTCTTCCCCATCGAGGTGGACCTGGCGCACACCACGCTGGCCTACGGCCTCGGCCAGCAGGACTTCACCGACGGCGAGGACGAGGAGGACGGCGAAGACGAGGACACGGCCACCAGGGAGCCGGCCCGGGATGTGCGAGGGGCCGGCGGGCCCCAGGACAAGAATGGCAGCTGGAGCGGCTCCTGAGCCCGCAGGGTGCGGATCTGGGGGCAGGGGGAGCGGGCGGCCCGCCGGACCGATCAACCGATCACTGACCGCAGCGTGGCGCATAAAGGCGTGCTGGCTGGGGCGCCGCCTCCCTGCCCTCTGTCCTAGCACAGCGAGCCCCCTGCCCTGCCGGGCACCTGGACAGGACCCTCCAGCCTGCCTTCCCAGCTCCCAGCCTGCTGGAGGTCCTGGGGCCAAGGCCGGCCCCAGGAAGGAGCAAGGGCAGAAGGAAGAGGGACAGTGTGGTGGAAAGTCCAGGAGCAGCCCTTGGGGCCACTGCCGCCAACCCCACCTAGGAGTGGGGGGGCCTGGAGCAGCCGAGGTGGTGGCTGGTGCCTCCTGTGCACCCGCCTTGCCCAGGCGGCCCCCGTCCTCCAGCTCACCGCGGTGGCCTTTATTTATTCTGCTCCCCCAGCTCAGCCCCTTCTCTGGGCGTGGCTGGGTCCAGGCCTGTATGTAATAAACACCCAGATGGAGTGCTGTCTGCAGTGGCCCTGCGCGCCGCCCAGCACTCCCAGCTCCTGCCCTCCAGCAGTACACAGTGCTGGCTGTGCCCTGTGCAGTTGGGAAGCTGAGCCTCCAGGCCACCTCAGGTATAAGGGTCAAGGTGGGATTTGAACTCCAGCCATGAGCTTCAAGAGGCTTGCATCTGGCCTGCCTCTGAAGTTTTCTGTGTGTCCTTTTATCGTGGACCAGGGCTAGCTGTAAGGTGGCCTCCCCAGGAGCCAGGACGGGCCGGCCAGGGGGCGGAAGTCCCAGGTGGGAGGAGAGATCTGCAGCTCCCATTCCACCAGCCCTGGGTCCCGGGCTCTGTCCGGGAGAAGCAGGGGAGAAGTCGGGCCGCCCTGCAGCCAGCTTGGCCTGGAGCAGTCACAGTCGCTGCTGCAGCGCAGCTACGACATGGCCCATTGCGTGCTCACTGTGTCCTGTTTGGACAGTGAATTCTGCGAACACCCCGAGAAAGGGGCGCGAGGGGCCTGCCAGTGGGGCAGAGACCAGAGTGGATACAAACCCATCTTCTGCTGATTACTTTTGAGCATGTAGGTCCTGGACAAAAAACGCCAAGGGGGTCTCAGGCAGGAGTGGTGTGGGGAGTCCACGTGGGTCTCCGCAGAACCACCTGGGAGACCATACCACTTCTGAAGGGCAGCCCTGGGCTCGTTCCCCACCGCCTGTGCTTCAGTTTCCCCATCTGTGAAGTGTGGGAACGCGTCTTCGGCATGAGGTCATGGGCCTTCTGCGAGTGGGGGTCTGTGAAGGGCCTGAAGCAGGGCTAGCACGGTGAGCACACCGTGGAGGCTTAAGGCAAAGGAAATGCAGCTGGGAGGGTGGCACAGAATGGGGTGAGAGGCTGGGCTTCTGACAGGCGGGCAGGCCTCGCCAGCCCAGCCGGGGTGGGTGTGTGTGTGTGTGAGAGTGTGTGTGTGTGTGTGTGTGTGTGTGTGTGTGTGTGTGTGCGCGCTCAGGGGTGCAGCTCTGGAGCACCCATGCGTGTGCAGAGCCTCCATGCACAGGGCCTGCTCCCCGTGCCCCCACAGCAGAGAGGGAGGCTCGAATATACCAGGGAGCCAGCCCTGGGGCTCCTGGGGCTTGGGAGGGAGCAGAGGCCAGGGCCAGCAGGATGACCAGGCCCAACACACTGGAGCTCTGTCCCCAAAGACAGAGAAGATGGGGGACTTGGCTGCAGAAGGTGGCAGGGCCAATGTCATGTCTGCCCCCTGGGCCCCCCAGCCCACAAGATAGACCCAATCATTCATCTTCAGTGAATGAAAGAGACCGGGGCTCAGGGTCAGGGTCCAGCCCCCCACCCTATTTGGACATGTGAGGACATGTCCTCACAGATACTGCTGGCTCCCTGTGAGCAGCTCGGGGCCCTGAAGCCATGCCCACCCCAGGCTTCAACCCTTTACCCTGACACTCCCTTCATGCCTGTCCTCCCCAAGACCCCAGTCACTGGGCCTCAAAGGCAATGGGGTCACTAGGTTGGTGACATCAACACCCCCGTGTTCCCCCCATGGGACTGCTCCCCCCAATACCAGGCCATACAGAAGCCTAAGTAACATTTATTCCCAGTCTTAATCACAGAACAATATAGGATGTGGTTGTAAATTGCTTAAACGGTAAAACTTCCAAATCATAGGAATACTAACAAAATTGCTGTGTCAAATCTTCCTACACTGGATTGGATGATTCATTACATTACGGATAACTAGGAAGAGCCTTTTCTTCCTTTAATTAAAAACAGCATTCTCAAAAATGTGATCTTGATTAGGTTCACAATACTAATTAGCACAACAATTAGCCAAACTGGCAGAGCATTTGACAAGGTCAGCAGCTATGGTCACTCTGACAGCCACTTGCACACCAGCAAGCTCTTGGAGCTCGGGAGACGACGGAACCGGAGCCTCCTGACAGCTCGGGAAGGCGCCAGACGTCCACTGGGAATTAGCAGAGAGCTTTAGCCTTGTAGCTCTGTGGATACGTGTAAGCTGGATTTACCAAAAAAGTTGGTTGTTATTGGCTACAGGGATAGTGTTATAAAAAATTTCTGAATCACTGCACAAACTTTTTATATAGACAGTGATTTTGGTGTCACTTGATGCAGGCCACGCTGCCGTGGTGACACCACTGCCCAGAAGTGGGCGCAGCCAGGACGCCCGGCAGAGACAGGAATGAGCTTCACTGCCGACCATGCCCCTCTCCGCTTGCTTCACTGAGGTCGGGGGGGACAGACCACCGTGGCCTGTTGGGCAGGTAGAACATCGACTGGGACCCCAGGATGGTCACCCTTGGCCAGTCCTGTGGGAGCGCTGACAAAGAGCCACTTTCTGGAAGTCACCCAGTGGCTCCACTACTGTCCCGAGCGCTGCACTGGTCTGGTGTCTGGCTTCAGTTCTGACCCAGGGTCCGGCCTGGCATCCTGCTTAGCGTCCAGCTTGGGCCCTGCCTCTGCCTCTGCTTCTGTAGGCCTGGTCTGGGCACTTAGCATCTCCACTGTCCCCAGGGGCAGGGCCTCAGAGTCCCCCTCGGCCTCAGAGTCCCCTTCTGCCATGCCATCACTGACTCTGTCCTCAGTATTGGCTCCAGGTGGGGTGTCCTGGGTGCGACGCAGGCTACAGTGGGTGGCCACAGCCATGAACAGCCCAGCTAGGGCCACCTCGGAGCCGGCCAGGTAGAAGATGACCTCATAGTTCTTCAGTGCATCCACCAGGTGGCCTGGGTTGGGGACAAAAAAGTCAGGAACCTACCCTCCCCCTCCCCACTCCCACAGTACAGGTGGGAAACCCTCAGGTGAGTTCTATTATTATTGTCCTTAATAAGGTTACTTCCCCTTCCTGGACCTCATCGCTAATGTTCTTCCCCTCTTACCTCCCAGTCTGTCGGGGCCTGGGTCACCCTCCCAGTACCGCCCCCAGGTCCGGTCCTGTCCCTCCCAGGAGGTCATGAGTACTGGCCTGGAACGCCCTTTCCTTCTTGGCTTGAGTCATCTATCACCAAACATTTAACCCACTGCCATCGGGTTGATGCCGGCTCGGCAACACTACAGGATAGAGTAGAACTGCCCCTGTGAGTTTCTGAGACTATATGGGAGCAGACCACCCTGTCTCCTGTGGAACGACTGGTGGTCTCAAACTTCAGACCTTATGGTCAGCAGGCTAACTCATAGCCCATTACCTCCCAGGACTCCTTTCCTATTACACGCTCACACCACACCCACACCCACTTCCACACCCACTTCCACAGCAGCCCACAATCCAGGCCTACAATCATTCCTACAGTGACCCTATAGGGCAGCATACAATTACCCCTGTGGGTTTCCAAGGCTATAAGTCTTTACAGGAGCACACCGCCTTATCTTTCTCCCTCCCTTGCAACGAGCAGTCTGATGCCTAATCCACAGTGCCACCAGAGTTCTCTATCACAGGCGCGTAGGACTTTTATAACCAGGAAAGTTTCACTTCAACTATTTTCCCCTAAAGTGTGGTCCTTCCAGGACCCCTGCTCCTGGAGCATTCCGTGGCTGCCCACAGCCAGCTGTGACCCCTGGGGAGGGGGGCTCCCCTCCCTGAGCCCCTCTGGGCAGTACTTCCCTAAACCTGCCCCTTGCCGCTGCCCAGTCACTAACCTCATCTCACCCACACGCAGCCCAGACGAGGCTTGCCCACTGCCCCTGCCTGTGAGCTGATCCTGACAAAGCAGAACTGTCCCTGCGGGCTTCCGAGTCTGTAAATCCTTCAGGAGCCAACTGCCTTGTCTCTCCCCAAGACCAGCTGCTGGGTTTGAATGGCTGGCCTTGAAGTTAGTAGCCCACCACTCAATCCTCTGTGCCACCAGAGGCGCCTTTCAAACTCACCCACTGACATGGAGTCAATTCTGACTCCTAGTGACCCTGTAAGACAGAGTAGAACTGCCCCTGGTGGGTTTCCGAGGCTGTAACTCTTGAGAGGACCAGAGAGCCTCATTATTCTGCCACGGAGCTGGTGGCTTTGAACCACCGACACTGCGGTTCGCAGCCAAAACGCTTAACCCACAGCGCCACCTGAGTGTCTTAGGTATGACCAATCTGGCTTCCCCACCTTCTCTCTCCACGTGTCTCCTTCCCTGCCGTGGAGGTCCACCCCGGGCCACGTGAGAACACAAAAATGGGTGCCCGAGCCTCTGCGTGGGGACGTGAGGGCTGGTTTGGGGGCCACCCTGGCTCGGGCTGTCCTGCTCCATCCACCTGAGTCAGGCGTTGACAGCCTGAGGAGGGCAGGCTTCTCAGCGGTCTCCCCACCGTCCGTCCGCCCGCCCGCCCCAGGCCTGGGCTCAGCGCTCTGGACCATGTCCTGTCTGCAGGGGCAGCAGCGGCGTTAATGCTTGCTTAGTGGCCCTTTTCCCTCTCAGAGCGTCCGCATTTGGACTGCGAACACGCAGTGGTTTCCTTGAAAAGGGAGGCGGGCGGAGTCAGAGGTGGGCAGAGTTCAAGGTGGAAACAACAACACGCTTTCTCCTGTGATTGAGTGTTGAGTGGGCAGGTCAAATGGCATTCTCCGGCAGGCGCAGGCACGCCGCGGGGAGTGGGGAGAGAGGCGGGGCGCCACACGGTCCCCCCTGAGACCATCAGACAGAGTTCGCGCCTTCCTGGGCTGCCTTGTTCCTGCCTCACTTGTACGGAACAGTCTCCCAAACCTGGCTGGCTCCTGAGTCCCAGCCCACAGGAAGCCCTAAACAAGGACACCAGCACGCCCACCCACTGAGCACCCCAAAGCCATGTCCCTGTCCCGACTGCCCTTAAAGACTAGGAGCCTCAGACACTGGGACAAAGGGCTTCAAGGGGAAGCATGTGACGTCAGGCCAAAAAGACCGCGGCTTGTACGAAGTCTGTGCCTCAGTTTCTCCATCTGCATAACGGGAACCAGCCCCCGACATCACGTACCTGCCTGGCGATCGCTTAAGGGGAGGGAGTGGGCCGGCTATCCATTTCACTGCCGGTTTCTTACTGGTAACCTGCCCAGTTTGGCCTTGGGGGTCACTGCTTGTGGGAGGGCCAGCCCCTTCTCAACCCTGGAAGGGCCATCAGGGATGGGGAGGGGGCCCTGGGCAGCGCCAGCCCGCCCGCCCTCCCCCCCACCCCCGGGGGCCCACCGGCAGAGGGTGGTCCGATGAGTACGGCCACGGCCTCCACGAGCAGCACCAGGCCCAGCGCGCTGGGGAAGCGCGGGGCGCCCACGGCCGACATGAGCACCTCGAACTGCAGCGCGCCCACCATGCCGTAGGAGAGGCCGAAGGCGACGCAGAAGGCCACCAGGGCGCCGTAGGAGCGGGCGCGCGCGCTGCTGAGGTCCGTGAGCCCGTTGGCCAGCAGGGCCAGGCTGAAGAGGTAGGCGACCCGCGGCCGCAGGCGCGCCAGCCCCGCCAGGGCGCCGCACGCCGGCCGCGCCACGATGTCCACGAAGCCCACGATGGACAGCAGGAAGGCGGCGTCGGCGTCGGGCACGCCCGCGTCCTTGGCGTAGTTCACCAGCAGGATGGCGGGCACGAAGAGCCCGAGCGCCATCAGGAACTTGGTGACGGCGTACACGAGGAAGGCGCGCTCGGCGCACACGGCCACGTCCAGCAGGCGACGGCGGCGGCTG